GCTAAGATCTTTTTCAATGTGATCTTTAAAAATCATGGGTTACCTAAGGTTATTGTTTCTGATAGAGATTCAAAGTTTACTAGTAGGTTCTGGCAAGCTGTTTTCAAACAATTGGAAACAAAAACTGCTATGTCTACTGCATTTCATTCTCAAACAGATGGGCAGACAGAAAGGATAAACAGAATATTGGAAGAAATGTTTTGTGCTTATGCCACTTATAAACAAGATAAGTGGGATGAATATCTATCTGCAGCTGAATTTGCATATAATAATTCAAAACAAGCATCAACTAGATTTACACCATTTGAATTGGATTGTGATCAACATCCCAATCTTCCAATTACTATGGCTGTTAATAAAATAAGTGACATTTCTGCTGCTAATAATTTCCTAGAGCATTGGAATACAATGATTAAAATTGCAAAGAATAGTTTGAGAGAAGCTTAGGAAAGACAAACCAAATATGCTAATGAACATCGACGTCACTTAACATTTCAAGTGGAAGATCAGGTTTTTTTATTTATGAAGAATACTAATACTTCAATAGATAAAAACAGACCAACTAAGAAACTGATACCAAGATTTTCTGAACCATATATAGTTTCTGAAGTAATTTCTTCAACTGCTTATAAGTTGGATCTGCCTATAGAGATGAAAATCCATCCTGTATTTTATGTTTCTCTTTTAAAACCTTACAAGACTCCTTTTCAAGAATTCAACAGACCTATACCACCATCTGCAATAATTTTGCCAAATACTGAACAAGAAGAATATGAAGTTGAAACCATTTTAGATAAAAGAATTCTTAGAAAAAGATTCAATATCTGGTAAAATGGGTTGGGTATCCACTTCATGATGCTACCTGGGAACCTAAAGAACATCTAACTAATGCTATGGCAAAAGTGAGGGAATTTAAGGAAATGAGAACATTTCATTCTTAAGAGAAGGAGAAATATAACAAATTCTGCTTATGTTATTAGTAAATACTTGTTAAATATCTTTTATAGTCTCTTTACTACTTAATAGCATAGT